GAACTAACAGAGAAATCAAGAAAACAATTCCATTCACAACTGCTTCAAAAAGAATTTTTTAAAAATCTTGGAATAAATCTAACCAAGGATGTAAAAGACCTGTACACAGAAAATTATAAGACACTGAAGAAAAAAAAAAATGAAGATGATACAAATAAGTGGAAGCATATACCATGTTCTTGGATAAGAAGAATTAATGTCATTAAAATGTCCATACTACCCAAAGCAATCTACAGATTCAGTGCAATTCTTATCAAGATACCAATGACATATTTCACAGAACTAGAAAAAATATTTTGAAAATATATATGGAACCACAAAGATCCCAAATAACAACAGTGATCTTGAGAAAGAAGAACAAATTTCAAGGAATCATGCTATACCCAATATCAACCTATATAATAAGGCACTAGTAATCAAAACAGCATGGTACTGGCATAAAAAGATACATATAGCTCAATGGAACAGAATAGAGAGCCCATAAATAAACCCATGATGACATTATAGTCAATTAATATTGGACAGAGGAGGCAAAAGTGAGCTGAAGATAATTTATTTAATAAATGGTATTGAGAAACTTGTGGGAAAATTAAATGAGACTGCCTTCTCACACCACACATAAGAATAAATTCAAAATGGATTAAAGACTTAAATGTTAAAATTGAAACCATAAAAATCCTAGAAGAAAACATAGGCAGTAAAATGTTGGACATATCTCCTAGCAATATGGTCTTCTGATGTATCTCCTAAGGCAACAGAAACAAAGAAAAAAAAATAAACAAACAGGACTATAAAACTAAAAAGGTTTTTCACAGTAAAAGGAACCAACAAAAAGATGAAAAGACAAGCCACTGGATGGAAGAACATACTCGCTGATAACAACTGATAAGGGGTTAATATCTATAATTTATAAAGAATTTATAAAACTCAACAACAAAAAAACCCAAACAATCCAACTAAAAAATGGGCAAAGGACCAAAACAGACACTTCTCCAAAGAGGACCAGGTTCAGCATCACTAATCATTAGAGAAACGCAAATTAAAACCACAATGAGATACCACCTCACACCTGTCAGAATGGCTATCATCAATATATCAACAAACAAAAAGTGCTAGTGAGGATTTGGAAAACCCTTCTTTAATGCTGGTGGGAATGCAGGCTGGTGCAGCCATGGTGGAAAGCAGTATAGAGTTACCTCAAAATATTAAAAATGAAATGGGAAAAAAAAAAGAACTGCTGTTATGACCCAGTGATTGCACTTCTGGGAATTTATCAGACGAAACCCGAAACATTAATTTGAAAGAAATTTTGCACTCCCTTGTTCACTGCAGCATTATTTACAATCATTAGGATTTAGAAGCAGCTCAAGAGTCCATCAGTGAGTGGATAAAACAGCAATGGTACATTTACATAATGGATACTACTCACTGTAAAAAAGAAAATTTTACTCTTTGCGATAGGATGGATGAATCTGGGGAACATTATGTTAAGTGACATAGCCAGTCAGAAAAAGATAAATACCGTATGATTTCATGAATATGTGCAATCTAATGAACAGACTAAATTAACAAGCAAAACAGAGAGAGACCCTATTATAGATAGAAAGCAGGCTGACAGCTCTGGGCAGGGCAGTTGGAGGGTATGGAGGGATTGAGCAAAAAATAAAAATTACTCAAGAACATGGACAACAGTGTGGTAATTGTGGGCATAAGGGGTTGGTGGAGGTGGAAGAGGGTATGGGGAGATAAATGGTAAAGGAAAAAATACAATAAAAATGAACTATAAAAAAATAAAACAACATGAAAAACATTAATGCTCCTTTTTGTTAATAGTAACAAAAGTTTTATAATCTTCCTATAGGTAGTATTATACTATAATACTGAGCATGCTTTTAAAAGCTATGTGTGTATCTCCACCCATTCTCACATACTCTGATGGAAAAAATTACTAAACATTCAAATAATGCATTGTAGCAGTTTATAGTCAATCTTTGTTTTTAATGTAAATAAAATATGAATAAAAGTTACTGTTAAGACTCATTACTATAATTACACTAACATAATGACTGCTTCACACTATGACAAGCTTAACAAAGTGAACTGAAAGGTCACTTAATGTTAAAGAGTCTTTAAAGTGGATGTTTCAGCTTTATATCCTAACAACGGGTTCAGAATACAACATATTCATATTTTATTAGTTAAAAAAATGTGAAAACATTCTAAAATATGACATTTGGACCCTATCTCCTATATTGACAGGTAAGAGTATAGTGCCAACGTAACTAAGAATACGAACTAGAGAAAGGTCAGCATCTGATACTAGCAAAGTGCCAACTTTGACTGACCTGAGAGACAGGCCTAATTTCTTTTGCCTCAGAAATGATGGTCTGTAGCAGTATAACAAGAGTGACTCTTTTAGTGGAATTAAGGAGAAATGATTCTAGTATAGAAATGTGGACTTACTACTTGAAAAAAAATTAAGAGATTATACCCTGCTGGGGTCTGAAAAGGCACAACTAGAGAATGAAAAGTAGTAATAGCACTTTGAAGACAGGAATTTATCTATTTGGTTCACTAGAAGTAGGTATCCTCAGGCATGAGGAGGCATTTAAAAAACATCTGTTGTTAAGAGAAGACAAATCTTAGATAATTGTGGCAGAATACTGTCATAGCTGGTACTAACACTTCCATAGTTTTTTCGGCTTTTCCCATCCCAACATAAAAGTGTTACTCACTGCTTCAAACAATATACTCATCGTGATAATTCAAAACAATTTTATAAAGAAGAAAATTAGGATAGAAACACTCTTATTAACCAAAAATAATGACTGTTTAAGTATTTAACTAATCTTCATTTTTGAACATTTGTTTCCAACTTTGCCCTATTTTAAAAAATTAAGATAAACATTACTGTATATATATATATCTTTGGGCACTTATCTTTCTTACCAAACTTTTTTTCAGAAAGGTTACCTCTTTATAGCTCGTGGAAAGTGAGGTCTTTCTTCTCCTCACTGTGATAAAAACCTATTCAGGAGTGGAAACTGTATATAGAAGCCTGGCCCACAAGTGGGGAAAAAGTGGAAATGGTCAGGGGCTACAGAAGCAGCACACTAATGAACAAAAACAATGAAAACCTATAGTACTTTACTTCAGCATTTCCACTTAGCTTCAGAAAACTGCATGTATCCCCATATGAGCAGCAAAGATAAGAATGAAAGAGGACAAAAAAAGTGGACTTTTATCTACTTGTCTCAGTCAACACAGAAAAATACATTTCTTGGACAATCTGACAATTATGTCTCCACTTATCTGGCCTGTTCTCTTCTTCTTTTTTTTTTTTTTAAAGATTTTATTTTATTTATTTTTAGAGAGGGAAGGGAGGGAGAAGGAGAGAGAGAAACATCAATGTGTGGTTGCTGGGGGTCATGGCCTGCAACCCAGGAATGTACCCTGACTGGGAATCGAACCTGCGATTCTTTGGTTCACAGCCCACACTCAATCCACTGAGCTACACCAGCCAGGGCCTGTTCTCTTCTTTAGTTTATATTTCTCCTAAAGTATAAGTAGAGGTTGTAAAATTAAAGCTTGACTAGATGCAACTGAACATTGACTTGCTTCACTTAATCTACATAGTGTAGCAAGTTTTAAAATTTGAATGTCTTTAGAAGGGGCATGTGCATTCCAGTTCATCACAGTCCCTATGATTTTACCTTCTTAAATTATAGCATTATGCTCACTAAGGACGCCTGTGTGGCCCTGCAGGCATTTGCCCCATTTCATATAAAATAACTATGAAATTCAAATATCATAAAGTAGTGGTTCAAAAAAAAAAAAAAAAAGTGGTTCAAGCCAGTGTTAAAGAGCTTATTTCTTCCTAAACTCAGTACCAAGAGGATCTTAAGTAATAAAGCAGGACACCAGATATCAACTGTTAATTAACTGCTACTTAACTTAGGCTTCATTTTATCTTCAGAAAGTCATCACATTTTTCCTTATATTACAGGTACTTTAAGACCCAAAACCCTTTGCCCTGTTAGCATTGCTAATAATCTACAGCAGCAAAGCATGTTGGTTAACTAAGATTAAGGCTCCTACATCAGGCTGCCTGGGTTCAGCACTTGGACCAATTAATTACTAGCTGTGTGACCTCAAGTACGCTAACCTTTCTGTGTCTTAGTTACTTCATCTGTAAAATTACAATAATATCAATACTTACTTCATAGGGTAGGTATGAAGATTAAATGTCACTATTTATGAGACACTCAGAACAGTGCCTGGCACAAAGTATACATAATATGACTACAATATATGTGTGTATTGTATATTAGGGAATATAACATATATAGTATATATGATATGTTTCAATAAAAAAGGTTTAAAAAACACAGGGAAGTATTCACTTTGCATGGTAGTGTGAAACCATAAAAATACCTGTAAAAGCTGCAATTATGCAAAGCAGTCTTAATAATCAATGGGAAAAATTACAATTGTGTCACAATCTTTATATCTTTTCTCAAAACATAAAAATCTGTTATAAAGGTCGGGAGAAAAATTTTAAAGTGAAACTATTATTTATTAAGAACACCATAATTTAAAACATTAGAAACACTGAAAAATGAAGTGTTTTATTTCTTTGAAAAACATCAAAAGTAGTCTGAACAGTGTAATGTAGGATATATGTCAAACTCATTTTCACCAGGGGCCATATTAGCCTCATGGTTGCCTTCAAAGGGCCGAATGTAATTTTAGGACTGTATAAATGTAACTACTCCTTAACAGTTAAGTGAGAGCTCGGCACTGCCGCTGGGCAGAAACAAGGTGCCCGGCTGGATTCAGCCTGTGGGCCTTGTGTTTGCCACCTGTGATATAGAGTGAATATCTATTCTTTGCTTGGCAAATTGTCATATTTCTTATTAAGTCTGGATAACTCAAGCCCCTGATAGATAGATCTATCATACAGAAAAGAAGAAAGATATAATGAAGAAAGACAGACTTACATTGTATTGATGATTGGCAACAGGTCTGTAATTGGTTGTCACAAGTTTGTCCAGTTGTTGTGATAGCCTTACAGGTTTAGAAGATTCTTCTATTTGCAATCTGAAAAACAGAAGACACTATTAACAAATTCACTTGTTTAATAGAGTGAAACCTGAACAGTTATTCCTGTAATTCTTCTCATTCAAGAACTAATACTTTATAAAAAGTAACCTCAGAAGATATACCAACCTTAATATAATACTTCAAAAACACTGTGAATACATTATAATGTAGAAATCAGACTGTAAGCTAAACATACACTCTCATTATAATTCTATAACCTACTTTTTAAAAATTATTTTATTTTTATTTTTTAAAAATACTTTTGATTTTTATTGTTCAATTATAGTTTTCTGCCTTTTCCCCTCCCCATTCCCTACCACCAGAGACATCCCCAGCTTCCCCTCCCCTGTTTTCACCCCCCTTGTTTTTGTCCATGTGTCCTTTATAGTTGTTCCTATAAATCCTTCACCCTCCCCGCCCCCACACACATTATCCCTTCACCTCTGGTTACTGTCAGTTTGTTCTTAATTTCAAGGTACTTCTAACCCTATACTGTATAGTCAAAGAAGCTAGTCCTCTTTAAATTTTTGAAAAAAATCTGCATGTAAAAATGAATTATCTTAAATCATAGGGCTTAGAACTAACCAAGTTATTAATGCAAAACTGCTATTCACTTGGTAAGAGATAAGGGTAAGTAAAAAGATAATCTATTGCCATCAGGGTCTAGTGGTGGCTCTATTAGACAATGCAGAAATATAACATTTCTATCATCAAAGTAACTTTTATTGGACATCATTGGTCTATTATAGAACTCCATCTGTATTAAAATATAATTCAAATACCATTTTTTAAAATCCTCACCCAAGAACATTTTTCATTGCTTTTAGAGAGAGGAAGGGAGAGAGACAGGGAGAGAGACAGGGAGAGAGACATTGACCTGAGAACAGAAACATTGTGGCTGCCTTCCATATACACCTAGATTGGGGACTGTACATGCTTGGACTGGTGATTGAACTCACAACCTTTCATCTAAGGGACAATGCTTCAACTAAATGAGTCACACCAACCAGGGCCAAAATTCTACCTTAGGAAAAAAAGACCCTAAAATAAACATAAGATGCTATGTACAGCATATTACAAAATATAGCACTTTACCATAAGGATATATTCAAGTAGCAATCTTACATAATTTTGCTTTGGATTAAATGCTACCATATTTAATGACTCACACTTTACCATTTACTTCTTATCTTAAAAATTAGAGTAATTCATTTGGTGCATCAGCATAGTAAATCTAAAAAACATTTTAAGGGTGAAAAAAGTTCTTGAAGGTGACTATTTAAAAAAAAATCAAATATATCATTGTACCTGTGGACTTCTCATCAGCAAGATATGAGAATACAAAAATATATTTAAAGCACTATAAGAAAAAATATTATCAAACATATCTAGCTAAACTTTAATTGAAGAGTAAGAGTGAAATGAAAGTATTTTTGGACAAAAAAGCAGTTTATCATTGATAGATCCTCAAAGACATAACTACTCAAGAATTTGTCACAGTAAGAAGAAAAATGAAAGCTCTGGCTGCATAGTCGAGTTGGTAAGAGCATTGCCCTGATATGCCAAGGTTACAGGTTCAAGCTCCAGGTGAGGACACATACAAGAAGCAACCAATGAATGCATAAATAAGTGGAACAATAAATCGATGTCTGTCTCTCTCCCCCTTCCTTCCTCTCTTTAAAAATCAACTCTACAGTTAATTAATATTCAACAAAGGGGGCAGCAACATAAAATGGAATAACAATAGCCTCTTCAACAAATGGTGTTGGGAGAACTGGACAGCTACATGCAAAAAAATGAAACTTGTGCAGCAACTTACACCATACACAAAAATAAATTCAAGGTGGATAAAAGATTTAAATATAAACTGTGACACCATTAAAGTCCTAGGGGAGAACATAGGCAGGAAAATCGCAGATATTTCACGCAGCAACACTTTTACTGATATGTCCCCTGGAGCAAGGGACATAAAGGAAATAATAAACAAATGGGATCTCATCAAAATAAAAATCTTCTGCATGGCTAAAGAAAACAGTATTAAAGTAAAAAGAGAACCAACTGTATGGGAAAACATATTTGCCAATGATACCTCAGGCAAGGGTTTCATCTCCAAAATACATAAAGAACTTACACAACTCCACTCTAAGAAGAAAAGCAACCCAATTAAAAATGGGCAAAGGACTTGAACAGACATTTCTTCAAGGAGGACATACAGAGGATCCAGAGACACACAAAAAGATGCTCAGTATCGCTAGCTATCAGAGAGATGCAAATTAAAACCACACTGAGATACCACTTCACACTAGTCAGAATGGCCATCATAAACAAAGCAACAAACAACAAGTGTTGGAGAGGTTGTGGAGAAAAAGGGACCCTAGCGCACCATTGGTGGGATTGCAGACTGGTACAACCACTATGGAAAACAGTATGAAACTTCCTCAGAAAACTAAAAATGGATCTGCCTTTTGACCCAGCAATTCTACTGCTAGGATTATATCCTAAGAACCTTGAAACACCGATTCAAAAGTACCTATGCACCCGTGTTCATAGCAGCACAATTTATAATAGCCAAATGCTGGAAGCAACCTAGGTGCCCATCAGCAAATGAATGGATCAAAAAACTATGGTACCTTTACACCATGGAATTCTATGCAGCAGAAAGAAAGAAGGAGCTCCTACCCTTTGCTACAGCATGGATGCAACTGTAAAGCATATGCTAAGTGAAATAAGCCAGGCAGTGAAAGACAAATACCATATGATCTCACTTTTAACAGGAACCTAAACAACAAAACAAACAAACAAGCAAAACATAACCAAAGACACTGAAATAGAGAACAGGTTGACAGTGACTAGAGGGGAGAGGGGAGGGAATTTCAGGGGAAAAGGGGAAGGGTTTACAGGAACAAGTATAAAGGAAACATTGACAAAAACTAGAGGGGAATGGAAATGGGAGAGAGGTGGGGAGGGCTGGGGGTTGGGCTGGGATGGGAGTAAAAGACAGAAAACTGTACTTGAACAATAATTAAAATTAAAATTTAAAAAAGTAATCATAAATAAAATCAGCTTAAAAAAAAAAAGGAAAATGAACCCAAAAGGAACTAGTGGGATGCAATGGTCACAGCAAAGAAATTGAGAACCATGTTAGAAAATTGCCTACTCAATAAACACCAAAAAAGTTTTTTGCTTTTTTTTTTAAAGAGTGAAACATGAAAGGTATGAAGGAAGAGATTAAAATTGATGCATTTTAAGACTTCTGTATGTTTTCTAAATTTCGTGCAATAAGCATCTATTATATTTATACTCTGAAGAGGGAGTATACTTTCTTAAAGAAAAAAGTTTCTTAGGGTAATTTGAAAGCATAAACATGTTGGTTATTTAAAAGCAATGCATGTTCATTAGCTTCCAGTCAGGATGGAAGCTTAGGTGGATAGCCTATTCATCCAGACAGGTAGGAGGGGCAGAGACAGGGAGTAAGGCAGAGAGGACTCAGTGTGGAGCTAGGGTGGAGGGGTGGAGAGGCAGCAACCTACTTTCAAGTGTGGTGGATAAAAAATAGGGACACACATTGTGAGCAAGTGAGCCCAGCGCTAGGCCAGACCGCAAAGCCTCAGAAAAAGGACTGCAGTGCTGGGAAAAAGAAAGCCTCATAACTTCTGGTGGTAAACCCAGTAGAGGTTGGGGTGGCAAAAGAAACTGTCAGTGCATATGCAAACCCACCCATTCTGAGAACAACAACCAGGACAGCAGCTGGAGGGGTGCCAGTTGTATGTGCAAAGTGAGTGAAGTGACTGGAAATGAGGTGAGGGCCAGGCAAGAACCCAGAAGTCAGCCAGCAACAGCATTATCCCTTTGACCCTACTCCCACCCCCAGAGCCACAGTTGCCCTGCCCTGGTAAATACTCAAGGCTCTGCCTGATCCAACTCAACAGGTGTCCTAAAATGGAATTGAAGCATTTCTACCTAGTACACAGACACAGGGAGGCTGCCAAAATCAGGAGACAAAGAAATATGGCCCAAATGAAGGAACAGAACAGAACCTCAGAAAAAGAACTAAGCAATGTGGAAATAGCCAACCTATCAGACGCAGAGTTAAAAACACCGGTGGTCATTGTGCTCCAAGATCTCACTGATAGATACAGCAAAAGCATAAGGGGAGAAATGAAGGCTCTAGTAACAGAAATAGAGAAATATCCACAGGAAACCAACAGTGAAGGGAAGGACGCCGTGATTCAAATCAATGATTTGGAATACAAAGAAGAATTAAATATTCAATCAGAACAAAACGAAGAAACAAGAATTCTAAAAACGAAGAGAGTTTAAGATGACTCTGGGACATCTCCAAAAGTGCCAACATCTGAATCATAGAGATGCCAGAAGGAGAAGAGGAAGACCAAGAAATTGAAAACTTATTTGAAAAAATAATGAAAGAAAACTTCCTTAGTTTGGCAAAGGAAATTGACATACAAGTCCAGGAAGCACAGAGAGTCCCAAAGAAGTTGGACCCAAAGAGGTCCATATCAAGACACATCATAATTAAAATGTCAAGGATAAGGCTAAACAGAGAATCTTAAAAGCAGAAAGAGAAAGGCAGAGTCACCTACAAAGGAGTTCCCATAAGACTGTCAGCTGATTTCTCAAAAGAAACTTTGCAGGCAAGAAAGAACTGGCAAGAAATATTCAAATGATGAAAAGCAAGGGCCCACAACCAAGATTACTCTACCCAGTAAAGCTATCACTTAGAACTGAAGGAGAGATAAAGTGCTTCCCAGAGAGGGTAAAGCTAAAGGAGTTCACCATCCCCAAGCCCTTAAATGAAATGTTAAAGTGACTTGTTTAAGAAAAAGATCAAAACTATGAACATTAAAATGACAACACACAACTATCAACAACTGAACCTGAAAAACAAAAACAAACTAAGCCAACAACTAGGACAGAAATAGAATCATAGATATGGTGATCATTTGAAGGGTTATCAGCTGGGAGGGGGAAGGGGAAAA